CAGAGAGAGAGGGAGTTACAGACTGAAATAGGCTCCAGGCTCCGAGCTGGCAGTCAGCACAGAGCCCGACGCGGGGCTCGAACCCACGAACCGCGAGATCATGACCTAAGCGAAAGTCGGACGCTTAACCGACTAAGCCACCCAGGCGCCCCTAATATTAGTTCTTTAAATGTTTGGTAGAATTCAGTAGTGAAACCATCTGTTCCAAGGGTTTTCTTTCTTGGGTGGTTTTTAATTACTGAATTAGTCTGCTTACTATCTATCAACTGAACTCTCGTTTCTCTTCAGATCGTATAAATCTTTCGCCTTTTACTATCTATTAGTCGATTCAGATTTTCTATTTATTCATGATTCAGTCTTGGTAGGTTGTGTGTTTCTGGGAATCTGCCCATTTCATCCAGGTTATCCAATTTGTTAGCATACAACTGTTCATAGAATTATCTTATAATCCTTTTAATCTATACAATCAGTAGTAATGTTCCCATTTTCATTTAAGATTTTAGTAATTTGAATCTTAATTTTTTTTCTTAGTCAATCTAACCAAAGGTTTCCCAATCTTGTTGATCATTTCAAAAATCTACTTGTGGTTTTGTTGATTTTCTACATAAATTTCTATTCTGTGTTTTCTTTACCTGTATTGTAATCTTTACTATCTCCTTTCTTCTGCTAGATTTGGATTTAGTTTGCTCTACATCTTCTAGTTCCTTAAGTTATATAACTAGATAATCAATTTGGGATCTTTCTTCTCTTTGAAGGTAGGCATTTACTGCTATAAATTTCCCTCTTCACACTGCTTTTACTGCATCCTGTCAGTTTGGTATGTTTTCGGGTTTGCTGTTGTTGTTGTTGTTGTTCTCTTTCATCTGAAGGCATTTCCTAAATTCCCTTGTGATTTCTTCTTTGATTGCATAATTGGTCAAGAAATGTTTAGGGGCATCTGAGTGGCTCAGTCAGTTGGGCATCTGATTTCAGCTCAGGTCATGATCTCACAGTTCGTGGGTTCGAGCCCCGCATCAGGCTCTGGGCTGACAGCTCAGAGCCTGGAGCCTGCTTCAGTTTCTCTCTTCCTCTCTCTCTGCCCCCCCTCCACTCATGCTCTGTTTCTCTCACTTTCTGAAAAATAAACATTAAAAATTTTTCTTAAAAAAGAAATGTTGTTTAATCTCCACTTATTTGTGAATTTTCCAGTTTTCCCTTGATTGATTTTTTTCCCCTGGAGTATTTTTTAATGTAATTTATTGTCAAATTGGTTTCCATACAACACCCAGTGCTCATCCCAAAAAGTGCCTTCCTCAGTGCCCATCACCCACTTTCCCCTCTCCCCCACCCTTTTTCTCTGTCATTGATTTCTAATTTCATTCCACTGTGATCAGAAAATACATTTTGTATGACTTGAATTTTTTTTAAACTTATTACATTTAGTAAGACTTGTTTTATGGACTAAAATATCTTGGAGAACATTCCAAGTACACTTGAGAAGAATGTATATTCTATTGTTCAATGGAGTTTCCTGAATGTCTGTTAGGTCTAATTATGGTTTATAATGTTGTTCAAGTGCTCCATATCTTTATTGATCTTCTTCTATCTGGTTCTATCTATTGTTAAAGGTAGGATATTGAATTCTCTATTATTGTAGAACTGTCTATATGTCTTTCCAATTTTGTTAATTTTGCATATATTTTTGGGCTCTATTGTTAAGTGTATACATGTTTATAATATTTATATCTTCTTAAAATTTTTTAATGATTTATTTTTGAGAGAGAGAGAGAGTCAGAGCATGAAAAGGGGAGGGACAGAGAAAGCGGGAGACACAGAATCTGAAGTAAGCTCCAGGCTCTGAGCTGTCAGCACAGAGCCCGACACAGGGCTAGAACTCACAAAGAGTGCGATCATGACCTGAGCCAAAGTCAGATGAATTACTGACTGAGTCACCAGCAATCAATAGCAGTGATGAGCAGTAAACAAAAACTAAACAAAAAAT